AATCTGGTGCTGTTGAATGAGATAGTCTACAGATGTTAAGTATATTCAATTGATTGATGGTGTTGGTGGGTTCAACCGACTTCTTGATTTTTCAGCCTGCTGGATCTTTTTCTGATAGAGAAGTGTTAAACCTTCAACTATCATAGTGGCTTCATTGATTTCTCCTAGCAATGTTTGCCTAACATATTTTGCCATTCTGTTAGGTGTATACACATTAGGGGTTGTCATGGCTTTTGGACTACTGATTCTTTTAACTTTATGTAATACCTCTTTAATCCTGAAATTTTTCTTTGCTTTGAAGTCTGCTCTGTCTGAATTTACTATAACTACTCCCACTTCTTTGATAAGTATTAGCATGAATTTGATTTCTCTATTTTATTACTTTTAATATATGTATCTTTATATATAGTTTCTTTTAGATAACATATAATTGGGTATTATTTTTGATTCACTCTCACAATCTCTCTTTTAATGCTATATTTAGATCCTTGATGTTTATGGTTATCTAACTGTGTTAGATGATATGTATCCCATATGGTACTGTTTTCTATTTTTTGCCTTTGTTTTGTTCCTGTTTTTGCCTTCCAAATCTTCTGCCTTTTGTGGTTTTAATTGAGCAATTTTTATGATTCCATTTTCTCTCTTTTCTTAGCATATCAGTTATACTTTTATACTTTAATTTTTTTACTTCTTAAATAATTGGCCTAGAGTTTGCAGTGTACATTTATTTATTTATTTATTTATTTAGGGTTTTTTGAGACAAGGTCTCACTATGTAGTTCAGACTGACCTTGAACTCACTGTGTTGCCCAGGCTGGCCTCTAACTCACAGCAATCCTGCTGCCTCAGCCTCCCAAGTGCTGGGATTACAGATGTGCACCACCACATCCAGCTTACAGCTTATAAATTTATAATTTATTTAACTCTCCTTTCACATAGCTATGTGACATAATACATAGGGCAAGTACCTTCAAAATATTTCTATTTCCTCCCTTCTGATATATGTCTTAATGCTGTCATACCTTTAACTTACACATTGTATATATAATAAATGAAATTTCTTATTTTTAAGTATATGTATGTGTTATATATGTATATTTGTATAATGTATGTATATGTAGTTATATATTGTTGCTATAATTATGAGCAAATTATCTTTTAGGTGAATTTCAAATAGGAAAAAGTTTTATCTTCATTTATTCATGCTCTTTATGCATATTTGAGTTCCTGATCTACACTATTTTCCTTTTCTCTAAAGAACTTTGCTAGAATTTCTTGGAAGACAGATTTTCTGTGAACATCTTCCCTCAGAGTTTGTTTGTATGAGGAAGGCTTTTAGATCTATTTCATTTCTGAAGGGTGATTTCTAGGTGGTTGTTCCTTCTATCATCACTTTAACTCTTTCACTCAGCACACTTCTTGCTTGCATGGTGCTATGGCTTGTGTTTCTCATAGTTCCTATGTTAGAAATTTAGTTCACAAAGCTGTAATGTTGAGAGGTGGGATCTTTAATAGGTGATTAAGCCATGAGAATTTTGCCCTCATGCAAATTTTAAATGACACTATTATGGGAGTGGGATAGCTGTATCAGTAGGTTTCTGAATTTTAAAAAAATGTTGGCCTCTTACCCTATCTCTCTCTTGTTATTACATAGCAAGAAGGTCTTGACTAGATGTGACTGAAATTTCAGACTTCCCAGGCTCCAAAAAAGTGAGCCAAATGAACTTCTATTATTAATAAATTACCCCATCTGTACTATTCTGTAATAAAAGCTCCAAATAGCCCAAGACACATTTTCTGAGAAGTTATAGTTATAATTCTTATCTTTATTCCTCTAAAGGCAAGATGACCTCTGCCCCCTATCATTGACTTCTTTTAAGAATATTCTTTATTTTTAATTTTATGAGGTCTGAAATATGATATGCCTAGGTATATTTTTTACACTTACATGCTTAGTGTTCACTGCACTTCCTGTATCTGTGGTTTGGTGTCTGACATTAATTTAAGAGAATTATTAATAATCATTGTTTGGGTATTGTTCTGTCTCTGTCATCTGTTTTCAGCCCTTGTTTCCTTCTTTTTTTGGTTTTGAGCATTTCTGCTTTACGTATATCATCAAGCTCAGAGATTTTCCTTTTTTTGATCATTTTTTAAAATCTACTAATGAGCCCATCAAAAGCATTCTTCATTTCTGTTTTGCTTTTGATTTCTATCATTTCTTTTTTATTCTTTCTTAGATTTTTCATCTTTTGGACTTAACATTATCTATCTATTCCTGCATCTTGTCTGCTTTTTCATTAAGATCCTAAGCATATTGTGCATAGTTTAAAAGAAATACTGGTCTGATATTTCTAAACTTCTGCCATTTGACTCAGTTCTGATGCTTATTCAGTTTCTTCCATGTTTTTTGCCTTTTATTATGTCTTATAATTTTTTGTTGAATGGCAGACGTGATTAAGTAGGTAAAAGAAACTGAGGTTAAAAAAACTTTTAGTAATATAATAACAAGGTATGAGGGGAGGGGAAGCATCCTATAGTCTTACGATTAGGTCTCTTTTTTGGTGATCTTGTGCCCCTAGTCTATGAACCTTAAGTAGTACTTCTTAGTATTTTTCCTTTTAGGTGGGCCAGGATGGCTGCTGTGGTTAAAACTTGAGTATGGATCTGGTAAAATATTTTCTTCTGAGGGAGCACTTGTTAAGAAGAAGAGAATGTTTCCAAATGGTTCTTTTTCCCTTTCCCTTCCTGGGACCACAAGAAGATTTTCTGTGATATTCACTGTGAGGATCTGGTACAGCTTCTGAAGGTAAAATTCACAAACGTATGGAGGCCTTCTTATGACTGAGAGTCCCTGGAGTTCTTAATTCTCAGAGTTGTCCACACTTAGCATCCGGCAACTCATTAATTACAGTTCTGGTTTTCCTATGCAACACTGATTCCCACAGAGGTTTTTGTTCACGGGTTTCTGGTCTGGTAAGTTGTAATTCTTTATATCTGCTTTTCTGTCTCTCTAATTCTAGAGACAGCAATCTGTCCTGTGACCTGAATTCTCTTATCTAAGAAGAGCTGTTGATTTTTCTGTTTATTAAGTTTTTTACTTGTTGCTAGAATGATAACTTACAAATTCCCTATATGCTGGACCAGAACTAGAGTCTGCTATGCATATACTTTTTGTTTTCTTAAATTTCTGCCTAAGGCCCCCAGGGTAATATTGAATAGAAAAGTAGATATTTTTGTCTTGTTCCTGAACTCAGAGAAAAGCATTCCATGTTTTACCATTAATGTTTGCTGAAAGTACTCTCCTATTCTTAGATTGCTGAGAGTTTTCTTTTTAAAAATCATAAATAGTATTAAATATTATAAAGTTCTTTATATCTAATCTAATCATCATGAGTTTTTACCTTTATTGTGATAAAGTACATTTATTGATTGGTATTTGAATCTTTAAGCAACTTTGTATTTCTGAAATAAATCTCTCTTGGTCCTTTTTCTATATTGTTTTAAGTTAAAAATGCAAATAATAAACCTGTTTCAAATATTTACATAATGAAAATTAAAGCTAATGAACCAATAAAGGGGATATATTAAAAGGTGGAAGGGCAGGAAAAGAGGCAAAAGAAGATAAAGAACTGATAAAAAATACAGAAAAAACTAAAAACTAGCAATACAGTAGATTTTTAACTCTACTTACAAGAAATACATTAAATATGCTGTAAATGCACTAGTCATATTAATTTTTAAAAGGCAAGATACCAGATTGCATTAAAACACCTTGAGAAATAAAACACAATAAATACAAAGATACAGATGTGTTAAAAGTGAAAAATATTGTTTAAGATACACATGAAAACAGTAATTAGGAGAAAGCTGAAATTGCTGAATTAAGTAGACTTTAGGAGAAGCAATATTGTAAGAGATACAGAAGGACACTTCATACTGTTTTTTTTAGAGTCAATTCATCAAGAAGACATAATACTCCTAAATCAGCATGGACCTCATCATAGTGCTTCAAAATACATGAAGCAAAACATTGACAATGTGAAAAGAAAAAAACCTCCCGAAAAACACATATGGCTACAATGTGATTATTGTTAGATGTTTCAACTTCTCTCTCAGAATTTGATAGAACTAGTAGAAAGAAAATCGGTAAGAATTTAGAAGATTTGCACAGAACTGTAAGTCACCTAGACTTAACTGATGTTAATAGAGCACTAACTAAGAAACCTTGGAGTGCTTATTTTTTCAGTCAATATGGAGCATCCTCAAGTTAAAGCATAATCTGTTCCATAAAACAAGTCTCAAGAAAGATAAAAGGATCAAAATTATAAAGCATATATTCCCTGACTACATGGAAACGAAAGACAAATTGATAAAAAGAAATTTTCTTTTTAAATTTAAAAAATTCCCAAATACTTGGCAATTGAAACACCTGCTTCTAAATAAACCAGGTATTAAAAAGAAAAAAAATGAGGAAAACTATAAAGTATTGTGAACTAAATAATAATGAAAACACAACCTCAAAAATTGTGTGGGATATGGCTATGACATTACATAAAGGAAAAGTGAAAGCTTTAAGTGCTTATATTAAACAATAAATGTTTAAAATTGACCGATAAATTCAAGGCACATCCATTCAAAATCCCAGAAGTTTTGTTTTGTTTTGTAAGCAAACTAATTCTAAAATTTATCTGAAAATGCAAAGGTGCTACTGTGGCAAAAGCAGCCTGAAATAGAACAAATTCTTATTCTATGTGATTTCAAGAGAACTATAATGCTGCAATAATCCAAAAAGTTTGCTATTGGTGTAAAGATAATAAATCGATCAATAGAACAGAAGGGAGAATCCACAAATAGAACTAACACACGAGCACACATGCTCTCACACACATGGTTATTTGATTTTTTGACTGCCGCGACCTGCACAGCATAGGGTGCGAAGCCGAGGAGAGCGGTGGGAGATGAAGAAAAAATTGGAAAGTAACAAGAAAGAAAGATACATACCAAGATTAAGCTTTATAGCTGGGACCAGGTGGGACCATAGCCTGATGAGCTAATGGCCTCCTGGCGTCCAGTGCGCTCTTTATTTATAGTGCAGGACAAACAAGAAGAGAAGGCGGGGTGATTAGTGCCACGTGACCCACGTGGCCTAGGCTGAACGTGATGTGTCATGATCTGGGCATGCGTGGAAAAGGAACACGGATACATAATGTAACTGTCTCCTAGGGCTGTGCCATCCAGCATCTACAATCTTAGTCAAATCTGTTTGACTATCTAGTCTATGAAAGACAAAGGGAGTAGGGATTAGGAGAAAGGCTATCCTCAGGCCCGGCTGCGGCATTTGACAATGTTACCAAGATAATTCAATGAAGATGATAATTTTCAATAGAAGATGCTGGAATTTCTGGATATCCTCATGAAGGAAAATGAACCTTATTTGAAAGAATGTATACAAAATAAGTAAAAGTGGCTCATACCCTTAAATATAAACCCATAAAACTGTTAGATGAACATTTTTATAATCTTGATATAGAAAAAGATTTCATAGAGCAGCTGCAGAGAGCATTAATGATAAAGAAAAAATTTGATAATTGCGTAGCATCAAAATGAAAACTATGGCCTCTCAAAAGACACTATGAAAATAGGCATGTTAAAGTGAGGTGAAATATTTACGATACATGTATGTGACAAAAGACATACATAAATAATTTTAAAGGTGTGTATATAATATATATCAAATATGAATAGAATATAGTGATACAAATATATAAAATATTGACTACTATATAAATAACTCTTAAAACTCACTAAGAAGAGGACAAAAAATAAAAACTCTTTTGGTTACTACTTGACATGCAATAAAAGTGATCATTTTTAGTATATCAAGGAATTTGTTTTAGCACTTATGAGCTGTGCATTAAGCAATATGGAAGAACACAAAGTGGTATCAGACTATTTCCTGACTATTAAGGAGCTTAATGTTTAGTTAAGAAAGATGGAGTGAGCCTGACCATATACTTCATCATATGGTTGTGAAAATAGTAGTGGGGTTAAAATGAGTTGATAGATTGAAAGAATATAAAAACATTCCTGAGAGATAGTATGTGTTCATCAAGTGTAAATTATTTTCCTTTCAAATGATGAAAATTTGTATTTGAAGTGAGAAATCAAAGCATAATTGAGGAAGTGATATTTAATGTAGACACTGTAGAATAGGAGAGCTTTTCATAAGTGCCAAGAAGTAGAGAGACATTCAGGTCAGGAGATGGCATGAGCAAAAGGTAGGCATGAGAAAGCACAAGGTAAATAGATGGGAGCGAGACATGTTTGATTTACGCACCTGAACAGAGAACAGAATGAAGAGTTTCATATGGGAGAATCAGGGCGAAAATATGGAGGGACTTGGAAACCAAATTAGAATGTAGCCTTCTTTTACACTGAGCTTTTATGGATTGCTAATAAATAAGTAAAGGAGATTAAAAAGATATTTTATTAGCAAAAGCTTATTTTATTAACAAAAACAATGAAGGTGTCTGATGAGCATAAAACTTTAAAATTGGGGGCTGTTGATCTCATATGTAAGTGTTTTTTGTTTTGTTTTGTTTTGTTTTGTTTTTTCTTGGTACCGGGGATCAAACTCAGGACCTTGTGCTTGCAAGGCAGGCATGGTGCCACTGAGCTACATCCCCAGCCCTTGTTCTTGTTTTCAGTGAGCCTCAATTTTCACTGTACTGTGTTTTTCTTTTGGTAGCATCATGTTCAGAAAATACTAAGTCATATAGATAAATAATTATAAAATAACATGCTATAGGAGTTTATTATTTTTGCACATCCTTTGATAAAGCAAGAATTTTATTTAAACATTTGTATACTATATATTTTAACATGTTAATAACAGTCAATGCTCTGATGGTTTCCAGATGGTTAAAATTTGGGACATAGCACATTTACATGTACAAATAATATGACATTTTTTGTTATGGTTTTCATAATTTTAAGAGTTTCTTTTTAAGTTACAACTTGTAGAAACCCAATTCTAAGTAATAGGTATATATTGGCTTTCATCACCAAAAAACTCATGTATAGCACTTAGCTTTAGCTGTATTTGAATACATGTGCACTAACATGATTTAATGATTTTTTTTTACTCTACTCTTATCTCTGCTTTTTTCCTATTTTCCTTTTTAGTTTTGGCTTCATTCATTCTTGTAGCAGATAAGCTGTCTCCATGTGCCAATAGGGTGGCCATGACAACTCCAGCTCCACATTCTTATAGCGTCCAACCTGAGCTTGAGAGAGCCTTTCCAGATAATTCCAGAAGAGAATATGACTGGGACAAATTCCTCTTTTTTTAGTATCTGAGAGGAGCAAAAGAAGGGCCACAGAAAAATTGCAATTGATAGCTCTATCAAGACAACAGTGGCATTCAGAAATATTTTCCAAAGAACCAAAATAAGGAATATAATAGGACTCACACTAGATATGCAAAAATATTGAATTATTGTTTCCATAGTCCATTATAGTTTCCTAAAAACAGTTAAATATATACTTGATAAAATGAAAATAAACAGTTGTAGAAACCAATGAGCAGAAGCAGAAAATAGGATGTGGAGAAAATGGCATAAAGGCAGTAATATTTTAGCAATGTAGAACAAACATGGTTTCTAATTGGACATTTTTATTCCATTAAAATTGGGACACAGTTGAAGTCCTTGTGGACCATGAAGTAGTGAAACATCAAGGCCTACAGAGTCATACGTACTCCATGAACATGAAAATAAAAACTGTCTGGAAAGGAGTTACCTTTCGAATTCACCAGTAATTTTAGGCAACATCTTATTTATTAATAGTGGATATTTAAGAAAGGAAAGCTTTTAATTCAAACAAAAGAATTGTGGGAAAAGAAAGATGAAGGTGTAGGAAGACTAGCATAATTGAACTTGCTATTGCAGGGTATTAACTTTCACTGCAATATCTTGAATTTTAGCACCTCTCTCTAAAAAATGAGATCACTTAATACCATGTCTGAAGCAATTAATAAGTATAAGATTACTCATTTCTCACTATATGAACACTGTATTTTGGAAACTATAAAACTGATGTTTAAATAATGATTTAAGCAATCGTTTTAGTAAGTGAGCATAAACTGTAGTCAGGGCTCTTACCAACTTTTTTGTTGTTGTTGTTGGTACTGGGGATTGAACTTTCCACTGAACTACATCCTAAAGCCATTTTTCTATTTTTATTTTGGGGCACGGTCTCCCTAAGTCACTAATGTTGCCCAGGCTGTATGCAAACTTGTGATACTCCTGTCTTGGTCTCCCAGAGTTCTGGAATTATAGGTGTACACCAGCACATCTGCTTCTCCCCACATTTTTGGTCTTGGCAAGGCTGGTGGCATCCTTGCTTCCTCGTTTCTGAAATGAAGGTGTTGGTCTTAATAATCACTGAAGTCTCTTCTTGCTCCAGTTGGAGGCCATGACCTTCTGAACCACCTGCTGTATGTATTCTTTAAAATACTGGTACCAGCAGCATTTGTGCTTTGATGGCTGTGTGGGAGATCATCTTGTTTGGAGTGTTCCCTCTGCTACTGTTTTAGAGACTAGGCATAGGTGGCCTAGGGAAGCAGACTGAAAAAATACCTTTTACCTGCTCATACAGAACAATGTAACTTGCATGAGTGTATGTTAAGGACCAGTTTTTAGGAATGCAAATGAAAAAGTTTGGTAGATGAAAATAATACACAGAGAGAATATTGCACCTAATGTGCTGGTGTCTGTGTGTTTCTGGAAGGTTTCAAATGTGAGGCTTTTCCTTCCTTAGGAATTTGCCAGAACCTTGCAAATCACAGTTCTGATAACATTTCCAATAGCTCCCAGTCCCTCCACAGCATGCACACATCCACACTCACAGCATATTGTTTCATAAATTGTTTGTGGAACTAACATTTTTCCTTGAAGGAATATATCTGATTTAATGACCAAATCATTTTAAGGCAGCAAAACAGAATTTTACAGGAACTAAATCTCTTTCTTCACACTGATCATGCATGTTTTACTCGAGCATTGAGTCATTAGCATGTTTATAATGGTTCTAATTTAGCACAACATTTTCTGAATTTTATCCTTGAGTCATTTACAAATTGTTCATATTGAGTAAACAAAGGAAACAGATTGCATTTTATACTTAGTAATTTATCTGAAAGAAGAGGGGAGGGTTAATTGTTTTAAAGTTTTGGTCTGTTTGGGGAAGTGAGTCTGCTTTTTCATTGCTAGGCATAAATGCCATTTCTCATCTTTTTGGAGATGGAGGGGGCCATGGTGGAGTAAAATGAAAAATTAGGACTAGGACAAGATTGGCCACTCCCAGGGGGGAGTGTGGAGCAAAAGGGGAGCTGGCACAAGATTATCCAGAACAGTTGGTGCATTCCTTAATGATCAAGTGCTTGAGAAGTCCAGTTCTTCCTGGCAGAGCATCTGTGTTGATGTTTATATCACTGCCTTGCTGTATGGGAAAGGCATGCTTTCTCTTTCTGCTTAGCTAAAAATAGGATGGAATATAGCATTGTATGAGATATTTTAAGATAGCAAAAACAGTTGAGAGGGTAAAGGTTTGGCTTCTGGATCAAAAAGATCATGATAAAACTTGCAGTATTCTTTGTAGATTGAATTTTATCTAGAGATTGTTAGTAATTTGGATTCTTGGTTAGGGAAGTTATTCTAGATTTATTTAGTGCAGTCTGACAAAAAACCACTCTGTTGTCTTTTTCTTTTTTGTCAGCTTTCAGAATGAGCAGCAGGGCTGAAAAGAGCCTCTATTTATACCCCCTTGCTCTTACTTGGAAAATTAGTTTTGGAGAGAGAGGTGAGAGAGAGAGGAGAGAGAGAGAGAAGAGAGAGAGAAGAGAGAGGGAAAGGAAGAGGAGAGGAGAGAAGAGAGAAGAGGAGAAAGAGAAGAGAAGGAAGAGAAGAGAGAGGAGAAAGGAAGAGAGGGGAGAGAGAGGAGGAGAGATAACAAGTAGTCCTCAGGGAGTGTGTTTTGTACGTTATAGTGACTTCAAAATAAAACTGGCACATTTTAGTGTCTAATTATTTTTAGTGAGCTTGGAGGGTTTTAATTAAAATTTAAGAGTGCTCTTCAAGCTCTCCAAGCTCCAATTTTATCCCACTGTATTGTGGAGCACTTGCCACTGTGGAAAAATGTACAGTAACTGGCATATGCATCTCTGTTTCCTTATAAAAAATGTGGAATAGATGATCAGTGGGGATTAATATGTATTGTTGTATTTGGCTGTAAACTAAAGTCATGGATACTTTTGACAAGCTGTCATTGTTCTTGAATACATAGAAAATTTCATACGTTTGAAACTTGGGATTCCTATGGTAAAAATAAACAAAGTCGCCTGTTTTCTTAAAAGAGTTAATAGTGCAAAAAGAATTATGAATAAAGGACCAGCAGTCATTATCTTTTCTTGCTAAAATATTCAAAAGCTACTGTTCATATTTCTAATATTTTAGCATTTTTGACTCTAGATATCACTTTGTGGTGAAAGGAATAATAAATGTTTACTTCCAAGTAAATTGTTTTAAGGAACAATGAAAATGTGTCTCATTACTCTTTCCTCTTCCCCATGCTTTAATATTAATTATGATTTATGTACTGTCTTTGATCTCTAAGAGAATATTTTTTACAGAATAGGAGTTAATATTGCTGAATCTTTTCATTAACCGGGAGAAATTTAAAATTGTCCCTAAAATATCACCAGAAAAATGAGGAAATAAACATCTCACATTCTCTCACTTTACATTTTTATTTTCCCATAAAAATAATTATTTGCAAGCAAAAACATTTCCAAGCCATGAAAAAGCATTTTTGACTTACCTGGCCTGAAATCTAGGAATACTTAGGAAGCAGAAATTGTGCTTCATAATCTGGTATGCAGTGTATTTTTAAAAAATTAGTCCTGAGTTTTATCTTTCCTTATTTTCTTTATTTCCTTTGAAAGGAACAAAAGAAACAAACTATATGCAACTGAGAATTAATTAAAACACATTAAAACTTTGCATCCTTGCTTAAAATATAGAAGAGAACTGAAATCTAGTTTTAGATTTTTTTATAGTTTTGTTTTACTCTCTATTATTTATAAAAATTAGACAAGGTAAATATAAATTCCCTCATTTCGTTGAAAAGATATATATTGGTCAATGGAACAAATTTTTTCAAAGTAAGAGGAATCAGTTTTGGCATTTTATGACTATGTTAATATGGAAGCATCATTACTTATATTTATTTTAATATATGTATATTTTGGTAACATTTTTATCCTATGATTTTGTGATTCTTTATCTCAATTTCCAAAGCTCAGTAGCTCCTTTCTTGTTTCTCAGCTGAAGTCAGCTCATATTCATTAAACTAAATAGTCAATTTAGGTAATTAAATTTACTGTATGTTTTTTGTCATTTTGAGGACTGTGGCACCAACAAAACTATAATGATTGTTTTCAAATTAATAAAACATATTTGTGTGTGCAACATAATTTAGGAGTATTTGTGGGATATTCAGTCCTTTTCTTTTTTGTGGAGTTTAAGGGGGACAGGGCCTCACTATGTAGTTCAGGCTGGCCCTAAAATCACTATTAGCCTGGGCTGACCTGGAGCTTGCTACAGTCCTCCTGTTTCAGCCTCCTGAAGCTGGAATTACGTACAGGTGTGGTGACCTTTTTTTCTATTTGGAATCATCTGTGACAACTGTGTTAAAGCCTTACTTGGACTTCCTTTTTCCATGTGCATAATGCAAACTGGCCTTTAGTTATTTTTTCCTCTTTGATTTTGCAATTGTGCTAGATCAGAATAGGGCAAAGTCTGATCAGTTCAACTGCATCTGTGAAGCTAGTACCCTATTAGTGTGGCTGAAGGATGTGGCTGAAGAGGGAGGGATGCTTTTAATTTGCACCTTTACCTTGATATTAAGTGTAAATTTGTACATTCCTTAATGAAAAGAGAAATTTCAAAATATAAAATGGCTTTTGTAATTTTATATTTATTTTGTGCTTCATCATTTCAAATAAGAAAGCTTTTACTGGGGACAGAGATGTCCTTTGCCCACACACTGCTTGGTAACAGTCTGCTTCTTTTGGTCTTTCCCCCCTCATCTTGCCTGCTTTATAGTACAGTGCAGAGGGTGCTCAGCATAAACTGTGGTTTGACTTAGAAGTTTGTCAGTCAGATAATTAGGGGAGAAAACTGAGCCTTTCAAGAAGCTTTCTTACAGTTTTGAGTCTTCCTGGAATCTCCTACAATTAAGATTAAACGTTGACAAGATTGTATAAGTGATTTTTATTGCCTTTAAGATAAAGACAATCAGTGGTTGTAGTTAAATACTTTCATGGTTCTAAATGTAGACATGCAATGACTAGCTTATTTTTTCCCTCAGTGTGTTCTATGAACTCCAAACTCACACAGCTAGATTAATTTAGCATTACAGGAAGAGTTAACTTTTTAATAGAATGTAAAATGCTTCAAAATTATAAGCCATTTTATTAGTGAGATGCTTTTAAGTAAAGCAGTGTCCACATAGTTTGTTTATATATGCAGTGTGTGTTTTTGTTGTCCATATAGTTCTGTTTTTCTCCCATGAAGTTTCAGCATTCTTTCCTTGGAGCTCTGAAAGATTTTGCCTATTTATAGAAATGAGAGACATATTTTGATCTGTTTTACATCTAGTATTTAATCCTAGTATATGGACTTGTACTGAATTTGTGCATTGCTAATAAATTGAGCTTTTGGGTTTGATTATTTCACAATATGTTCTCAGGTCAAATTTTAACCAATTTATGTTCTACATTTGTGTCAGAAAAAAATGATATGACATTTACAAAAAGGTAAAAATTTGTAATCCAAGTAGATAAAATATGAAAATCGAGTCTTTTGTTGAATTTTTTATCCATAATCTAATACTATATCAATGTTTCTCAGAAATTCAAAACTAATTTGAGAAAAATTAATCTTTGACAAGCATGACTTTGAGGATTTTCTTCTTAACTCTTAAACTCGGTTTTATTATTTTATGATTTTAGCATAAGACAATTAGGTATAGCACAAAATATGTATTTCATTTCTGAATGTGAAATGAAAAATACCAGGAGACCATTTTGTCAAATAAATACAACCTGAACATGTACATGTATGCCACATTGGAAGGTCATTCAGAATCCAAAAATAATAGTAAGTAGGGAAGAAGGAAGGAAGGAAAGAAGAAAGGACTGGAAAGAAGGCCGGAGAACTTTCACTAGATAAAATCAAACTGATTTCTATTTAGAAAGAACTTCAACTTCTGTGATAGACAACTAATATAGTTGGTCTTCATCAGCCTTTTTGGGTCTTACTGATCTGGATTCCATCCATTCCTTGATAGATTGATTGTGCCATGGACAAATGTTAATTGTTTTTCACCAATACTTTCCATCCATGCAATGGTCTTCTCATCTCTTAAGCAGGGATCACTGCCTTTTTCTAAAGCTTATCTAGCTTCTAAAGCCCTTTAGAGCCATCTTGACATGTCATTCTGAAAATTTCAAGGAGAATTTAGAAGCTAGAGAAGCAAAATGAAAGGGAAAATGCGAGAGATAGGTGCTGATATCGGAGAGAAAAGGTACTTGGAAATGAAATAACCATTTTTAAATAAAGTTTTAAAAGAAAGTTATCGGTATTTTGACACTTGGAATGTTAAAGTTTAACAGGAGTATGCTTTGCACTAAGGATTTAGTGTTTAAATCTGCATTCCCTTTTGGAAATAAGGCCTATTTGTTAAGATTTGTGGCCTAAAAGGTACAAGTAAGTAGTTGTAAGCAATAGCTCCACTTGCAAATCCATCTAAATAGGAAAAGTAACTCAAAGAGGAAATTTTGGTGGTTCTAAGGACATTGCAAAGTTTGAATCAATGTAACATTTATGTATCTTTATAAAAACACATGTAATTGTTCCCTATAATCTTATAAATGCACTAGGGTATTTATTACTTATAAATGCAACAGGGAAAATAATATTTAAACAATTATTTTATATTTTCTAATAATTATTTAGATATTTAAATAATATTTTACTTAATAAAGATATGTCTCACTGTGAAAAATTTTAGTAGTTTTCATTACCAAGGCCTAGAGAGCATTTTGGCTTAATTTTTTTTCCTTCTTTGCTCTAAAGGAGTATTTTATAAAAGTTAGATTTCTTTTTTAAACGCTAAGCGTTTACATAGGTTGATTGGCCTCTTCTACCTTGAAGATCTGTTATTGTTCTTTGCATAGCACATACTTTTTTCTTGGATATAAAATATCATCTGGATTAAAAGTAATATCATTTAAACACAAGCCCACAGGAAAGATCCCTCTTTTCTGTCTTATTAGTTTTCAAAAATGATAAATAACAATTAAATAGTAATAGAATTAGGATACTAAGAAAAGATTATTGAGCATTATCCTATGTTCTCCTGGGCAACAGATTAAGTCATCTTCTGGAAAAAAATAAACTTAATTGTGGTATTTTATAATATGTAGAGTAATATAGTCATCTAATGTATTATACGAAATATCTTTGTACATTCTTAAATGAGAGATTTTCTCCACAGATTGGCCTTCTGAATTTGTAATATACATATATTCATAATACTTACTTTTGTATTTTAATAGATTCCTCCTGCATGGAAAAACTACTTTCAAAAGATTGGAAGGAAAAAATGGAAAGACTAAATACAAGTGAACTTCTTGGAGAAATTAAAGGTACAATATAATAACTAATGAATATCTCAATACACAAACGTTATTTTGTAAGATGACCTATTTGCTGATCTTCTGTAACACTAAATTCTTACCTCAAATACTTGATTATAGATGAGAGAATAAATGTATGATATGTCTCTGAAATTTTATTCTTTGTAATATCTACAGAATGAAATTTCTGCTCACCATTGGTATGAATCCATACACATAACTTGTAGGGTATATTGCCTATGGGTTTACTTAAAGAGTGAGAAAGAAAAACATTTATGTCAAAAAATGAACAATTTAAGTTAAATATATTCTTAGTTCTTCCTCTTAAAATCATAATAGCTTAACTTATAGGTCCAAATTATTAACTTGAATTTGTTCAGATCAAAAGAGCTTACCTGTACTACTTTTAAAAAAAAGAATATAGAATGTATTGTACACAATGATTTATGGGCGGATTCTGAGTCCTGGGTACCTCAGATTTTTTCCACATTGACTTTGTATCTTATTAGATGAAAGGCTTTGGAAAAACTATTGGGTTTTTGTACATTTCATATTTATTGTCTCTAAAATGAAAGTGATAGCATACTTTATAGACTCACTACAATAGTTAATACATTCAAAGCTCTTGGATCCACAGTGCCTGATGTCACTTAAAAAAGTACCCATGAATATAAGTTTTGGAGGTTGTTAATATGCCCAGAGGAACATAGATTAATATCAAAGAGATTTCATAAGATTTAGCATTTCATGATGTTACTCAGATGAGAATGAATATCTTAATTTTTGAATATCTGTGCTTGTTATTATTTTAAATATCTTAAAATGTGATTAATCCCAATCTATTCCAGTATTAAATTGCGCTATTAGCTGAAGTGTTTTATTTGCCTAACAAAAGGGTTATTGATTTTTTTGTGAAGATGAAGTACTGTATCCCTAGTTTTTTGTTTCATGATTAAAATTCATGGTCATTCATTCACTCAATTATCCCTTATAAACAAATAGTCATAGCTTTGATTTGCACTAACAATTTGCAAACTTAATTATATTAGTTTTTTGAATTTATCTAACAATTTTAGGGCAATCTTCCTGTTGATTGTGGGTAATATCTTAGTTAAGATGACAGTTTGGCAATAAGTATCTGATGAAATTGTTATTTTGGATTTACTACACAAAATTACCTAATGTTCAAGCATCTTATGTTCAACTAAAATGAAAACAAAAGGAAGTCATTTTTTCCCAATGAATAATTAATAACTCCTTCCATTAACTAATACAGTATCAAAATCAAGTGGAAATTAAATATTATTTTGAATTTCACTGCTTCTGTTTTTTACTTGTAAAGGCCATGTGCTATTTTGGAAAAAAGAGAAACTCAACTTATAACTGACAGGCTGAAAGAAAGTCATTAGTAACATATTCTCTATCCAGCTGCAATAACATGGGGTGTGCTACTTTGCACGTCATTCTGTGTTTTCTTCCCTTTCCAAAGTCACTGGTTTTATAACAGTCAGAACAGAAATGGCTTATGCAAAGGCAAGCTTTTACCAGCATGAATGATGGGGGTCTTGTTTTCTCTTAGTAATGTGGAAGCTAACATTTTATTATGTTACGACTCAATATCGAGTTTTATATATCAGGGTATCTTTTCTTTCTGCACTTCATTTTTCTTTAATTCTAATTCTAAATTTAAAATAAAAAAATACAAGTCTTAGACACTCAAAATGTATAAACTTCAAAAGTGAAACACATGCAAAATTAGGCTTTTCAAATTCTTTGACTTTTTTCCCTGGATTCTTTATGGGATCTATGAACTTTCATTTATGTGGTATTCTGAGTTTTATAAGCATAAAATATAATATTCTCACAGAATTTCCCATTTTTATTTATTGTACATTTTTTCCTCTTCTTACATTTTAATATTTTGTCACTATATACATTATACATAAATTATACCAATAATATATTAACTTAAAATGAAAAAGAATTTAAAGTAGTATTTAAATAGTTTAATTTAATTACTGTTGAAACTCAATGTACATTTTTATTCTAGGTCACATAATGTCAGTTATTATCCAGATGAATTCATTATCATTTTTCTGAAATTTTAAAGTGATCTAAATTAAATCTTTGAGGAATATATAGTGTGTGGATAATCAGTATTTAATATTATATTCCAAGCACTGTGTATTGTAATAGGTTTTATTTTCCTCTGATTACAAATTCACACATATACATTTGCAAGAAACAGATAAAAACACAGAAAAGAATTGTACTTTAATTCTAGCTGTGTTATGTCATATGTCCTTTTTATTTAACTTAGTATATGTATGTTAATTTTTTCCCATAGGCTTAGTACCATCTGTTTACTATTCTTTTGTAGTCTGTTTTGCTCCCTTAATGCTATATTATGAATTTCCTTGTGATTATGTAATCTTCTGGAATATTTTTATTCGCAGAAAACATGGCATAAAGTGAGATTTTCATAATTTAATTGAGCCTCTTATTCAACAGTTAGGTCAGAATTAAAAGGATTAAAACACAAAGAACATCTTTTTAAGACTTGTCATTTTTTAGTTGTTATTTTCTTAGAATATATTCTTAAAAGTGAAGTTCCTGGGCCAAAGAGTGTTTTTTAAAAAGACTTTTGATTTCTACTTTCCCTTGTCCTACAGGAAGAGTACATTGTTTTATGTTCTCTCCGGCAGTATCTGCAAATGCTTAGCTTTTTGCCCTCAGTAGTGAATGTTCCTTTAAAAAATTCTTTCCATTTTGACAGAGGAGAAACAACTTATAATTGTTGAATTAATCTGAATTTTTTTCATTATTTGTGAGAATGAAGATTTTATATAAATTTATTTGCTGTTAAATGTCTCTTCCTTTGTGTACTGTCTATATCTGTTGATGACCCATTTTTCCTTTAAATGACTAGCTTTTACTGGTTTGTAAAAACTTGTTATATATATTAATAGTATTCAATTTTGTCATTCATTTTATTTTATGGTCTTGTAGTCTTTCCATCATTTTTTAAAAGCTTTCTGTTGGGAGTTTGTTTAGAAAGACCTTTGTTATCCTGAAGTCAGAGAATATTCTACTGTATTTTCTTTCAATTGCATGGCTATATTTTTAAATATTTAACCTTCTTTAATTCCTCTTGAATATATTTGGATGTATAATGTCAGTGAGAAATATGTTAATTTTTTCTCAGCAGTTTACCAAATATCTCTGTATTGATTATTAAATGCATCTTATTCCCTCTCACATATAGTAGTGACTTTTATTACACTCTGATTATGCATTTAGAACCATTTCTCAGTTTGAGTCTATTCTATTGATTTTTCTATCTAAACCTTTATTAATACTATGAAATATTAGTCATTATCACTTTATAATACCTTTCATAATTTTAAATTTAAGATATCTTTACACTTTTCTAAAGGTTATCTTAATTTATCAATTGTAAATTAAAATCCCCAAAGTGATTTTTTAAAAGATTATTTTCACATAAAACTATAGGGTGAATTGACATCTTTATAATATTGAGCATTTCCATTCAAAATTATTTATTCAATTCTTATATGTCACTCAACAATAATTTTTAAAATCCAGATTCTACACATTTCCTTGGGTGTTTTCTTTATAATATTTTTGCTTGCCCTTGTGAACATGATATTCTTCATTCTATTTACCTTTTGGTTAATGTTTTTAGAGATGTTAGTGCATTTTGCTTATTTTTTTTGTTTTATTATAATTTTAAAAATTATTGAATGTAGTAGGTCTAATCATGATGCAATTGATATCTATGTTTCTTTGCCCTCCTCTACTCTTAATACAACACCTAAAATATCAAGAGTAGTATTAAATAATAGAAGTAAGAGGAAATATTTTAGCTCAGTTTTTAATTTATGATATGGTATTGTCTTTAATATTTCACAGTAAGTATTTTTGTAAAATATTTTAGTCTATTAGAAGTTTCTGTGAGAAACTGCCTTTTTATGGTATACCTTATTGGTCTTGTTTTTTTGAATTTATTATTCAAATAAACTCAATTCATCATGGAATAGTCTTGTTTTAATGTACTAGTTTTACTTACTCCTATTACATTGTTATTCTTGCAACTAAAATTATAAATAAAATTAATTTTTGTTTTTCTTTATTTTTAATATATTTCTTAATTTTTAGTTCCAGAGTTTACAGTAGAATTAGACAACTCTTCCTCATTTTCTGAAGAGTATAAAATATTAAGTAGACAATGTGTGAATTATTTATTTCTTGAAATTATGAAGACCATACTTATAAGACATTTAGGCCTGGAGATTTTTTTTTTTGCAAAACATTTATTGGTACATTTTAGATGTATATAATGATAACATTCATCTTAGGGAACTTGTAGCTGCGCATGATTTATCTTGCTTCTTTTTTTCCCATCCCTTTCCTTCAACCCTTCTTTCCCTCCTTATTTACAAAAGCTTTGTTTCCATTTTTCCTTCTATTCTCTTTTTTCTTGTCCCTTCTTTCTTGTGGAAATAATTTTTTAACATTTTCTCTTCTCTTTAGATCATTTTTGCCATAAAATATTTTTCCTTCAAAATTATATGTCTTGAGACTTTAAATTTTAGTATTAATTTACCATGCAGTATCTCTTATTTTAAATCTTCTATATAATTTTTGTTATATAAATGATTTTTAATTTTGAAAATTTGTATTTTTTCCCCTTTGGTCCTTTACTTGCCAGTGGTTTTTCTATTTATTAACCCTGCATTCCCTAATGATCCAGTGTTTGGATTTATGTGTCAGTTCTGCTACTCTTCAGTATGCCATTTAATTAATACTGAGTTTTCCTTTATTAACTTTCCTTGTTTTTCTTATAATTTTTCTTTTGTTTTTTTATTACCCTCTAAATTCCTGCATTTACTACTTCCTTTAAAAATATTTCAACTTAATAGTAAAGTTAGAAAATTTTGATTATAATTATTTCTAGAAATAGCCTTATTTCCCCCATAACTTTTTGC